AAATTCAAGGAGAGAGAAAACAGAAACCTTTAGTTCTTAACTTATGGTTTAACAGTTTTATCTGTGGGCAAATGACTACTGTCTCTGAACCTTTGTTTCATTCTTGGAAAATCTACACAGTGAGAAACTTGTTGCTCTAAACTTTCTTCCAGAGATGGTTGTATATGTGACTATGTCAAATGGAAATTAGTATATAATGTATGTGATTCTGACTAGTGGAAATGAGTACTGTAGCTTTAGTTTGTTTTAAACGGTCCTAAGGAAATGCATTAGGCAAATCTTTTTCAGAATGACCTTTTTAAAGTGTTGAAGAGCAAATATGTCACTTTGAGAGGACTAAGGTGTGCCTGACCCAAGCCATGGTATTTTCAATAACCTCATTTGCATGCAAAAGTTGGACAGTGAATAAGGAAGACCATAGAAGAGTTGATGATGCATTTGAGTTGCAGGAGAATATTAAAAGTTCCATGGCTGCCAAAAGAACAAACAAATCTGTGTTGGAAGAAATACAAACCAGAGTACTCCTTGGAAGCCAGGATGGCCAGATTTCGTCTCTCATACTTTGGACATATTATTAGGAGGGACCAGTCACTGGAGAAGGATATCATATTTTGTAATGTGGAGGCTTGGAGAAAAAGAGGAAGACCCCAGCGAGATGGATTGGTACAGTGGCAGCAGTGATGGGCTCAGGCATAGCAATAATTTTGAGGTTGGCCCATACCGAGCAGTGTTTTGTTTTGTTGTGCATAAGGTCGCTATGAGTTAGCACTCACTTGATGGCATACTACAGCAATGACAACAAGGAAATGCAGTATAATTGCTCAACTCATAAATTGATGTTTTTCTTTATAGTTCTACAGTTACAGCTTTTAAAAACAAAGCAGGGCATGGAAACTAGCGTGAAATAAATTTAAATATAATAATGATGACTTACTGTTGTGATGATACAAGGGATCTTCAGAAAGTTCATGGAAAATGTGTATTATTGAAAAACTATCCATGGATTTTTACATTTTTTTGCACCCAGATAAACTCATAAGAGTGTTTACCTGTGCTTTAATGACTGCGCAAAAACTTTCAACTGCAAATTATGACAAGCTATAGACAACATTGCGGAAGATGAGTGTTGTGGAATAATTATGCTAATGTGGAACCTGTACATAGAACATTTGAATAGAACAAAGGAACACTGAATGGTTTAAAATTAAGAAAGGTGTGTGACAGGATTGTATTCTTTCACCATACTTATTCAGTCTGTACATTGAGCAATTAATTTGAGAAGATGGATTATATGAAAAAAGATGTGGCATCAGGATTGGAGGAAGACTCATTAATAACCTCCTATGTGCAGATGATACAACCTTGCTTGCTAAAAGCAAAGAGAACTTAAACTAAGATCACAACTTTCAGTATGGATAGCACCTCAGTGTAAAAAAAAAAAAATAAAAAAAAATCATCACCACTGGACCAATAAACAACATCATGATAAATGGAGATAAAGATTGTAGTTGTCAGAGACTTCATTTTGCTTGCATCCACTATCAACACTCATGGAAGCAAACAGCATATGGTATTAGACAAATCCACACAAGATCTTTTTAAAGTGTTTAAGATCAAAGATGTCAGTTTGAGGACTATGGTCCACTGGATTGAAGCCATGGTATTTTTAATATGCATGTGAAAGTTGGACGTTGAGTAAAGGAGACTGTAGAAGAATTGATGCATTTGAGTTATGGTGTTGGATAAGAATATTAAAAGTTCCTTGGAATGCTAGAACAACAACAACAAAATCTGTTTTGGAAAAAGTGCAGCCAGAATACTCCTTTGAAGCCAGGATGGCCAGACTTCATCACTTATATTTCAGACATATTATCATGAGGGATCAGTCCCTGGTGAAGGACATCATGCTAGGTAAATGGAGAGTCAGTGTAAATGAGGAAGGCCCCAGTGAGATAGATTGGCACAGTGACAGCAGCAATGGCTCAGCAATGGCTCAGCTTGTGAGGATGGCGCAGGACCAGATAGTGTTTCATTTTGTTGTCCGTAATGTTACTATGACTCAGAATCGAATTGATGGCACCTAACAACTTGCTATATTACATGTTAGGACAGGATGTAGTTTGAGGTACTCAAAAGCATAAAATACTGATTTGAAAAGAGGCTGTGTATCAGAGCAACATGAGTGCTGCTAAAGCAAGAGCAAACATCAAATGTATGGTGAAATCAGTGATGCTTTAAAAAATTTATGGAGAAACTGCCATAGAGAAATCAGTAATTTACAAAGGGTAAAAGGCATCCTGGTGTGGCAATGTGGGTTAATGCTCCAGACTACAAAGGCATTTGAGCTGCAAGGTTGGCCATTCAAGCTCACCACCTGCTCCTTGGAAATCCTATACAGGGTCGCTATGGGTCAGAACCGACTCGATGGCACCTCACAACAACAACAACTTGTTTTAAGAAGGGATGAGATGATTTTGAAGGTGAAGCCCACATCGCAGACCATCCACATCAGTTTTTGAGAACATAATCTTGTTCTTACTCTAATTGAAGAGGATCCACAATTACCAGCAGAAATAATAGTCAACACTATCTAAATCACAACTGGGTCAGCTTACACTATTTTGACTGAAAAATTAAGGTTGAGCTAACTTTTCATTTGATAACTACCAAAACTGTTCAGTGGATACTTTAAAACAAGTGAAATCAAGATCCTGAAGCATTTCTTTTAAGAATTGTAACAGGAGATAAAAAATGGCTTTGCCAATATGATCCTGAAGACAAAACACAGTCAAGGCAACAGCCACCAAGAGATAGTAGTGGTCCAGTGAAAGCAAAAACATGCTATTCAGAGCAAAGATCATGGCAACAGTTTTGGGGGATGCTCAAGGCCTTTTGCTTGTTGGTTCTGGAGAGCTAAATAACAATAACGTATTCATATTGTTAGAATGTTTAAAGAAAGCTAGCCAGTTCTTTAGCAGAAAAACGCCAGGAAAGCCTCCCCCAGTATCTTAGGCTACTTTCTCTAGAGAAGCAAAACCAGTACAACTTTATATGTGTGTGTATGTGAGTGTGTATATGTGTGTGTATGCATATAAAAAGAGAAGTTTGTCTGGAGTCCTGGTGTAGTGCTGCAGGTTAATGCACTGGACTGCAAAGGTGGTTTGAATCTCAAGGTCGGTGGTTCAAGCTCACCAGCTGCTCTTAGGAAACTCTGTACAGGGTTGCTGTGAGTTGGAACTGACTTGACAGCACGCAAAAAAATTTATATCAAGGAAATGGCTCACAGTTCTCGAAATAGGAAAGTCCCATTTGCAAGCCAAGTGAACCAAGATTGGCAGGCAGTCAGGACGATAGGACTCCTAAGTCAGTGCACAGAGCAGGAACTCTGCGCTGGAGAAGAGGTGATGGGTAACTGATCCAAGATTGGCAGGCAGTCAGGACGATAGGACTCCTAAGTCGGTGCACAGAGCAGGACCTCGGCGCTGGAGAAGAGGTCAGGTAACCAAGACTTGGGCAGGTGTGCTGCAGAACTGGTTGCACAGAGCACACAAGCTAGGGCAACAGGAACAGACTTACAAGGCCCTCTGGTGGGTATCCAGTTTTCTAGGCACACTCGGCAGGCAGGCCCAGCAGACCACTGGTTCAGGTTCAAAGACACAAAGGTTGGAGTCTACGATCCAGATGAGAAATCCAGATCTAGCAGGAAAGAGAGCTAATCTCCCCTGTATGCCCATTATATTGGGAGTAGGCCAGACCCCTTAGGAAGCATCCTTTCAGTTGATCCATGGCTCATAGCCAATCATCATAGAGTTAACTATGCCTTCTCATAGCCAATCATCATAGAGTTTACTATCAGCTGTCAAACAACTGGAAATCCTAGCTCAATTAATCCTAGCTCAGAATCTTGACTATCACACTCAGAGCATTGCCCTCCTCCACCATGGCAGTGTTCCTGTTTATTCCTGTCATCAAACCTTGGCAATTTTATAAGAGTTTCAGTGGGAAATCCTTAGGCATCCACCTTACAGTCCTTATTTGATTCCTTCTGACTTCTCTTTGCTAATCTTAAAAAAAATCTTTAAAGAGCACTCGTTTTTCTTCAGGTAATAATGTAAAAAACACGCATTTACATAGTTAGATTCCTAAGACCCTCAGTTCTTTAGGAATGCACAAAATGGCTGGTATCATCGCTTACAGAAGTGGGGTTGAAATGCCGACATTGTGGTTAGAAGTGTAGTGCTTATCCTACCGCACCATAGACTTACTGTCCCTCAGTTTCACATCCTTTGGAGGCTACCTGTTAGTTAGTCTCTTAGAAATGCCCCCTCAAATCTACCCTTATCACCTCAGAGTGAAGTTTGTATGTTATATATCTTGTAGTATATAAGTTGTTAACTGTTTGACTCCAACTCATGGTAACCTTAGGTACTAGAGAACAAAACGTTGCTGTTTTCCTGTACCATCCTTATAGTCGCTAGCATGTCCAAGGCCACTATTACGGATGTTGTGCCAAACCATCTCATTGAGGCTCCCCTTCCACTCACTGACCCTTTACTTCACCAAACATGATCACCTCCTTTAATAATACATAGATGCCTATGTAAACTACTTAATTTTTTGAAAATATAGATTGAAAAAATATTTTTTTTAACATTGTATAATTCTATATATAGACCAGTAAGAATATGCTTGACATTTAAATTTTTCCTTTCTCATGCCATCATTTAGAGATCAGATTTCCATATCAGTTGATATAGCCTTGCATTTTCTGACTGTGACAAGCCAGCCAGTGTCCACTTACAGAAAGTGGCTCAGTCTTTCTAGTTTAGCCTGTTGTGAACTGTCAAGTGAGAGACTGTCAAAAATTCAGTAGACAGAACTGATTAGGGAAAAAAATTATTTTTGTGTCCTCTCTCTCTCTTTTTTTTTTCCTTAAGGTTTGTCTGCTTTTCTTTGCTCATTGCATGGATTATTCTTTAATTTAAAACCTTGCACTGCAGGTTGTTGGGCACTTCCACATGGAGACTGATGTTGGATCAAACTCGAGACAAGCAACTCATCACAGTGGATGAAAAATTGGTAAGGATTGCCTCCTATATACTGCTTTGATTCTGCCGACAGGGTTACTTTTGTACAATAGGAATTCATTGTGGCATTCTGGTTTTCTTCTGGAAAAGTGATCTGAATTTCTGGATTACTTGTAGGTTTTAAGAAAAAACTTTTGGCACAGAAAGATTATTTGTGTTAAGCATTATAAACAGACATTAAGTCATATGTAAATAGTAAGAAATTAAAATAAAAAAGAGCTTCCTTTTTTTTTTTTTTTAAGGTTTTTATTGTGGATTGAGTGGATTGAGTGAAAGTTTTCAGGGCACATCATCGGTTTCACATTCAAACGTTCATATACCTTGTTTCATTACATTGATTATAATCCCCTCCACATACCATCAGTTAACAGAGTTTAAGAGCTTCCATTTTGATGGTATGTACAAGGTACAGTTGTAACACTTTTACTTAAGTAAATAATGTATTATTTTTCATTTTATTTCCTTATTATAAGTCTGTTTAATGAAATGGTAAGTTATTTACCAAGAGTAAGTTGGTTTTCCTAGTACCATATAATATTATTGTTACTATATGTATAAATACACACATATACATCTCATTTCTACATATGCATGAGGGTTATATTACAACTAGAAACAAATGAGTAACATTCTTCTGTTAATCAGTAGCAGATTAGTTTTGGCAGCTATTGCTTTAAAAAAAATTTCAATGTGTGGTCCGTTAACTTTTAATGCAACTTGATATTTATACTTTAAATATTAAACGATAGCATACGTTTTGTAAGGTTTCCAAGAATTCTGCTAGAAATGTGTAATTGTATAAGTGTGTTTTGTATTTTATTTTATATCTGGTGTACTATGATCAAATACCAGGTTAAGTCAAGAAGTATTGCTACTAGGGTTCTGGTTCATACATGTACAGGTTTATTCTAAACAAAACATGATTAAACATGAGTCTGCCATCAGTGTATGATTGCTGGCAAGTTACTCAGTAATGCACTTTTCAATGTCTTGGGTAAGTTGCCTTCAAAAAAACTTTTTTTGTGTACCATGGAAAAACACAAGTTTGAGGTCAAGACTAGCATCAAATCTTAAACAAAACTCAAGTGGATATCTTCCCAAATCATTGAAGCTTTGCAACCAATTTATGGCAGTGATGCCCCTGTAAAAGAGCAGTTTTAAGTTTAAGATTAAGTGTTTTAAGGAAGGTCAGGAAGACTTCAAAGATGAACCAAGAGAGGAGAGGCTATCAATATTGACAAATGAAGAAACTGTGGCTGAAGGCCAGAAACTACTAGTGGAAGAAGAATTACCACTGATGTGATAGCTACTAAAGTTGGGATCTCACATGGCTAAGCAATTTCATTTTAAGTGAACATCACCCTTAGCACGCTTGATGGGTGCCATAAGCGTTGGATAAACACCAGCTAGCTCAAAGAACTGATTTTTCACCAGTCTTTTAAGCAAGCTGGAAGCTAATGATGATTTTATGGACTGAATCGTAACGAGTGATGAGTCTTGAATTTACCAGTACAATCCAGAGAGCAAGATCCGGTGAAAATAATAACTTCCTAAAGCAATTGTCTGTAATGTAGTTAATTCTGTAGGTCAGAGTAGAACTACTCTACAGGCTTTTTGCTGAGCCAGTTAAATTCAAGACAGAGACGTCAACTCAGAAGGTTATGGCTACTGGTTTTTGTAGATTCTAAAGGGATACTCATGATAGATTTTCTCAAAGGACACATTGCGATCATAGGCATTTATCTGGGAGAAGTTTTAAGAAAATTGAAAGCTGCACTGGTGAGAATAAGACCAGGAAAGTTGTGCCAAGAAAGGTTTGCCATCACAGCAGTGTACCTCCTTCTTTGGGAAGCATTATCCCATCCACCTTCCCGGTCTGACCTTGTCCCTTGAATTTGAGTTACTCAGGGTTGCCAAAACTCCTGATGACATGGTATAAATAGAAGAGCAAGGAATTCTTCAGTGAAGGGCTAGGGAGATGAAATACCACCTTCAGAAGGGTAAACCTAGCTGGAGAATATGTTGAGAAACAGTATCTTCACATTTTAATATATTTAGTTAAGCAAGGTTTCTAGGATTTTGGCGTAGGCGTACATGTGTATGCTTCTAAATTACTCCTGTTGTACAAGCTATTATCACTGACTGAACTTTGAGCTTGAAATTGTAATTAATTGATCATACTTAAAATTTCAATTTACCATTTAAAATATAGTCAGATAAGTAAATAGGAAAATAGACAATTTGAAAAACACATCCTATGTCCAACAACTAATTGGCTTTATTTTCAAATTATCTATTAGATCTACCTGGAGACACTGTCATCATCCTAATCTAGAGTACTATCTATCATCTCTTACCTACTAGATGCCTAATAGATTCCCACAGATATTTAATTTTCCTCTAATTTATTTTCTACAGATCAGTCAGAACAATTTTTTGTTAAAATTTTGTCATTTTACATAAAATCTTTTGGTGACTTTCTTTTGCCCTTAGCATGAAAATTAAAGTCCTAACATGTCCTTTGAATGCCTGCATGCTAGCTCCTGCCACCCTGTCTAGGTTTATCTGACACCAATCTCTTCTATGCTCTGTGCTTCAGTCACACTAACCCTAAAGCTTGCTGTTCTTTTCCTCCTTCAGGGCATTCAGAGTTCCTGTGCACCTTGTCGAATCTTATTTACCTGTCCCCTCGCTCTTCTTCCTGTTTACATATACTGATTCTTCAAATGTTAATCAAACATCCTTTGCTTAGCCAAGTACAACTAGGTTTGGTACCCATGTATATAGTATAAAAATACTCTAATACTTACCACCACAATATAACTTAATAAGGCACAAATGTGCCTTAGTTATATCTGTGTAGTCCTGATGTGGTACTATAGGATAAGTACTGGACTGCTTACCACAAGTAGTCACTTAATAACAACAACCCAATGTAGCTACCTGTGATCAATCTCCCCTTAGCCTCCCCACTGTCTCCTTAATGCATTTTCTCTTCTGTTGCTATGTTGTTTTTAAGTGCTGTAAAGTTGGTCCAACTCATAGTGACCCTATATAGGGTTTCCGAGAAGCATTTGGTGAGTTTGAAAAACCAACCTTGTGGTTGAAACTGATCTTGCAGTCCGGTGTTTAGCCTACAACACCGCATTGTTTTCTTATAGCTACCTTATATAGATTTGACCACATTGCTTCCCTGCTTGAAAACCTTTAGTGGCTCATAATTTTTTATAATAAAGTTCACGTATCTTGGTATTGTACATGAAGCCCTTCAATACCAGCACCAATCTGTCAGTTTGTCATACTGTGGTAGTTTTTGTGTTGCTGTGATGCTGGAAGCAATGCAACCAAGTTTTCAAATACCAGCAGGGTCACCCATGGTGGACAAGTTTCAGTGGAGTTTCCAGTATTTTGTGAGTCTAGGCCTGGAATTCTACTTCTGAAATTTAGCCACTGAAAATCCTATGGGTCACAACAGAATATTGTTGACTGTAGTGCTAGAAGATGATCCCGTTAGTTCAGAAAATACTCAAACTATACAATGGCTACTATAGTGGATTTCTCATAAGTACAATGAAGTGTTCTGGAATACTCATACTTTGCAATGTTGTCCATAGCTTGTCACGATCCACACAATTGAAAGCCTTTGCGTAGTCAATAAAGCAAATCTTTAAAGCAAAAAGAATATCTTTTTGATATTCTCTGTTTTTAGCCACGATCCATCGGACATCAGCAATGATGCCTCTTGTTCCACAGCCTCTTCTGAATCCAGCTTGAACCTCTGGAAGTTCTTTGTCAATGTATGATTGTAGCCATTTCTGTATTACCTTTAGCAAAACTTTACTTGCTTGAGATATCAAAGAGATTGTCCGATGATTTCCACATTCAGTTGGGTCACCTCTCTTTGGAATGGGCACAAATATGGATCTCTTCCAATCAGTCGGCCAGATAGTTGTCTTCCAAATTCTTGGCAGAGATGAGTGAGTGCCTCTTGTGCAGCCTCACTTTCTTGAAAGATTTCAATTTTTGTTCCATCAATTCCCAGTGCCTTGTTCTCTACCAATTTCTTCAGTGCACTTTGGACTTCCTCCCTGAGTATCATTGGCTCTTGTTCATATGGTACCTCTTGAAAGGGTTGAACATTAACCATTTCCTTTTGATACAATGACTCTGTGTATTCCTTCCATCTTTTCTTGGTGCATTCTGCATCATTCAGAGTGCTCCTTGGAGTCCAAGATGGTCTCTCATACTTTGGACATATTGTCAGGAGGAAACAGTCACTAGAGAAGGATGTCATGCTGGGTAAGGTGGAGGGTCAGAGAAAGAGAGGAAGACCCCCAACGAGATGGATCGGCCAGGTGGCATCATTGATGGCGTTAAGTGTGGCAGCGGTAGTGAGGTTGGCCCAGGATCGGACATTGTTTCGTTCTGCTGTGCATGGGGTCACTAGGAGTCGGTTCCGACTCGATGGCACCTGACAACAACAACAACTACAGTGGAGTTGAACATAGCAAGTCATAAAGATCTTACAAGACTGGACAGTGTTTTGTTCTTTTCTACATGGGATCGCCATGCTTTGGATCTGTCTCCACAGCACTTAACAAGAAGCTCTTAAAGATCTTCTACAGACTCTATAGTCTATTTTCAACAGATTTCTCAGAGCATATCTTACCTCTTTAATGTTTCTGTATCTATAATATTCCCTCAAAATTCTTTTGCTTTCTTCATTATCCTCATTTCAAACTACGACACAGAAGTGTGTGTGACATTTTCCAACCTACCCAAATAACCACTCTCTCTGCTGAACCTCTTTAGGAATTTGTATATACTCCTAATATAGCATTCAAAGTGTTTACTTTCTGAAAGTAATTTTAAAGTGTTTCTTTTACCTGTTTATTCTTTCTGAGCTCTCTCTGGGCACAGATCTTATTCATATTGTAATTCAGGTGTTGAATGATTCCTATAACAGAATAGTTATTTTCTACTCTGAAAATT